TGGAGATGAGTTATCATTTTCAGAGTCTTCTGATAGATTTGGAGAGAGAGTTGATAGGTTGGTTGTTTGAATAGATGAAGTGGTTAGGAATAATGATGGAATAGTTGGTTGTGTTGTGGCAAGTAAAAGAGTATTATTAAAGGTGATCTCATAAGTTGGTATCTGAGATGTTTAGGATTCCTTCTATAGAGGCGCTTACTATATACTTGGCTCTCATAGCTATGAAGGGTGCCATAGCCTGTCCTGTATGTTGGGTCTGGCCATCATTAACTTGGTCCTCTGCATAAGTAAATATCTAATAAACTGTTTTTATAAGAAATATAGATATAAAATATAAAACTACTAGAGTATCTTTCTATTATTATTTTGAAGTTTTACTTAATTAAATTCTGTTTTATTTTTAAAACAAAAGGTTTTTACTTTTATACTTTTTATTATTACTTGTAGTTAATTTCATATTAATTAATTTTATTGACTTAGTTAGCTTAGTTAGCCAATTTTTTAAAAAATTAATTTAGCTAATTATATAGACTAGGTGCTAGAAAAAAAAATAAAATTAGCAAAAAAAAAATTAATTTTTATGTTATAAATCTTATAATAGATTATAAAAAAGTACAAAATTTTAAAAAGTATATTACAAAAATTTTATTAATATAACTATTTTTGTATTTAAGTAAAAAAAAATATCAATTTTATTTTTTTTTCTAGTATCTAGCCTACATGTTAGATTATATTAAAGTAATTAATCAGATTCAATATATTACAACTCTTAGTATATTACAATATAGTTAAAAATTTAATAAAACCTCTAAAAAGTTCTAAAAATAAAAAATATTAATCAACTTTAATTTAGTTAGCTAAGCCGAATTTTAAATATCAACTTAAGGGTAGGGTGAACGATTTCCATTTTTAGTAGTAATCACTTGACAAATATAGTAAAAATTGATTTTCATATGTTTTTACTATTTAATTTGCCTAGGTAGTACAAGGATTTGCCTAGGTAGTACAATATAAATAACATATGATCATCACCTGATTTCAATTGAATGTTATTAAGGTTCTATAATCTTGGCGGGTCCTTTTTTACCTAATTTGCTTTTGCAGTGTAACCGTTCTTACTATGTGTGTGTGCTGTGTTTGCTGTTTTTCGTGTTTTGTGTCTCATTTGTGCATAAGATCGATGACCAAAATTTCCTCTAAATCCGTAAAAGGAAAATTTTTTATCTGCTATTTTTATAACATGTTTTAGATACTTCGTATACGATTCGAATATGATTCGAATACGATGCTATGTTAGCAGCAAAAAAAAAAAAAAAAAAAAATCTTTCATTTGTTCAAAACAGTTTAAATCTTAATAATATTTCGTCCGTTTTGTACGTGTATGATTGCCCCGGCTTATGTTTGTCTTACTTTTCGAGTTTTTTAATATTTTTGTATTTTTTTCCTTCTGAATTTTTGCCGGTGTGATGGTTTGATAATCACAGATCGTCAAAGAACGTTTCGAAAGAAACGCAACGAATTGATTTGTTGATCATCGGGATTCTTTAAATTTATTGTTTGCCGTCATATGCTTTGCCATCTATCCGGTGCAAAATTTATGTGGTTTGTTATTTATTTATTTCTTGTTGTTAAATTGTTAATAATTATTTATTTTCATATTAATAATAATAACTTGGTTCGTTTTTTTTTTTTTTTTTTTTTTTTTTTTTCGAATAGAAAAAAAAACTATTAATAATCATCTCTAATATGATTGAATAAGCTCCCGTGTGTCAACGCTCTCCTGTGATCATGTTTTACAATTTTTTGAGTTATACGATTTTTTTTTTTTAATTATTAATTAATTAAAAACGAAAAAAAAATATCGAAATAAGTTGATTTGTAGGCTGATTGATCTTCTATCGGGTTGACCTTATACTTATTAATAAGCATTTATAGAATGATTATATTGATGCTTAATTGCCTATCAATTGAAGCCTCATTCATTTTTTTTTTCTTTTCTTTTTAAAAAATAATTGTTTTCGCGTTATAGTCTTTTATTGATTAAAATTTCTATTCAATTAAATGCATTTTTACATTCGTTTTAATTTAATTTTTTCCTTTTATTTATTATAAAATAAATGCTGAAAATCTGATATTATCGTTTCGTAAAAAAATAACAATCGTAGAGCCGCTTTTCGGGTAAGTATTTCACGCGTTGATCTGATTTTCAAAAGGCTGATTTAATTGTCTGAATTACCCGATATTGACTTTATCTAGCCTGCTTATTTCTTTACCGTATTTCGTCAATAAAAAAAATAATAATAAAAAAATAATAAATAAGGCTATATTTTTCTTTTTTTATTAAAAAAAAAATAAAAATTAAAAAATAAAAATTAAAAAATAAAATAAAAAAAAAAACCAATAAATATGCCCGCTACCATTACTGTATTGTGCTATGTCACTGAATACCACAAGAATTCTGCTCAAAACCTTTCTATAGCAGATACTTCGGGAATCATTCGTTCCCGAAGTTTAGATTCGTCCTTAAAAATTTTTTTGAAAGGATTCTATCTTCAAAATGCGTCTCAAAAATTAAGCCTTCCTCCGTTTGAAAAAGAAGATGTGCTTTTGGTAACTGAAAAATTTTGTACTATTGACCATATAGATGAGAGCAGTAATAAGGTTGTATATCAGAATCCCGACACACAAAATCCTGACACACAAAATCCTGGCAACAAAATCTCAATACACAAAATCCCGACAAATTAAATTCCTAATTTTAATATTTTTAGGATTTTAATTTGTTGGAATTTTGTGTATCAGGATATTGTTGCCGAGATTTTGTGTGTCAGGATTTTGTGTGTCGGGATTCTGATATACAACCCAGTAATAAAGTTCCTACTCTGAAAGTAAGTTAGATATCGAACGATATCTTTGTTCGTCTACTCGTATAATGTATATGAATAAGAATCTACTCAATTCAGAATTTGAATATCCCAATTTTAAATCAAATTGTCCGTTTCTGGATAAATCAGATTCTTATCTAGACATATACATCGTGTTATTACTGCTAATAAAAATCTGTCTTATCGCTTTATATGTGCAAAAAAAAAAACTAATAATTTTTACCTTATTTATTATTTTACTATTAACAATTAACAATGTTGTAAAAGATAATCTTAAACGATCTTGTTTATGTTAAGTTAGATCCAAATAATGTTCCGAGTTTTCTGATATTGATTAATATGACCACAGTAGTGAAAGATCCTCCTGTTATAAGTGATGATAAAGATGTTACGATGTCTGTCATAATGCATGACCATGTAGACCAAGAACTGATAAAAATTCCAATTGAATGCTATTATTCAGTGCAGCTCCTCATTTAATGCGTATAACTGAAATTATTAAAAAAAACTCGATCCTATATATTAATGGTGAACTTATATTATATGATGACACTAATTATGTCCATGTTAAATCTTTATCCTTTCCGGACATGCAAAAAAAAGAACCGAAAATTTCTGCAAAACCCCCGTGGGAATCTGAAAGTTCTGACAGATCAGATAGACCATCTGTTGCTAAAACAATAGCAACAAGAGTAAAAAATAATGCTAGGCAAAATAAAGAACAAACTTCTTCTACAACTAATTCTTATCCCAGGCTAATAATCGTTAAAAGGTGACAGATCTAGCAAAAGAAGCTTTAGCCAGTTCAAATAAGTCAAGTACATCTACCTCAGCACCTGCTAATGCTTAAATTATTAAGTATAAGTGTAACTTATATTTGGTAAAATAAATTTTCTTTTTTTTTTTTTTTTTTTTATCTAAAAACAAATCTCTTTTAATTTATTTATTACAATCATGTGATGTATCGTTAGTCTTATGATCGGTGAATTTTTTTTTTAATAAAAGTACAGTGCTTATATTGAAGCAGATAACTTTTATCTTATTAAATAAAAGAAAAAGTAATAGAAAAAGTAAACTTTTTCTTTAACGATATGTTGTAAAGCAGTTTGTTATAATCACATAATAATATTCTAATCTAATTAAACGCAGTTTAAATACTTTCGATATTGCGAATAATTGTATTAAATTGGATAGGCATTAAAATACAAATATTTACAGCTGTTCTCATAAATTTTGGAATATCTGGTAAAAAAATTAATTGAATGGAATGATTGTTTGGTCAATTTGATAAGTTTTTTTTAATTCGCAGTGATAGACTTTTGATTTGAACATTATTAGTAATATAGTAATATTGATATGTATATTTTGTGAATATATTCTGATACTACAATATCAACACGTCCAAAATTAAGACTTTGTATGAAAGCATGTCCAGTGTATTTGATTTATTTAGCCTGTATGAAAATTTATGACAATAATTGTTCTTGCCAACCAACAGATCTTAACAAAAAACATAAGGGTTCTGAATATAAGCTAAATAAATATATTATACGAGGAGGTGCTAATAAAAAAAAAGTTCAATGCGTATGAACAATAATTTATTGATTAAACTAAAGAAAATATAACAAGTTATAATTCAACCAACAAGTTTTTATTAATCTTTGTCATAATCAAAAAATCATAATAAAAATCTATAAAAGTATTTTATTTATTTATGTGATATAAATTATAAATATGGACCAAAAAGCAAATCAATCCATGTATAAATCAGATAAAATTATTGAACCAGTTAACAACTAAGAAACCTTAAGCTTTTTCATTTATAATAAACAATTTAAAATAGCCCAGCTTGTTTGAAATACTACTGTTAATCTGAAATATCCAACTTTTTCTGCAGTAATAGCAACTGCAAAAATAAAATAGTGATATCGATATACACTACTTCTGTCATTAACAAGATATGCATGTTATACATAATTGCTCATTACTAAAACAAAAACTTATCAAATCGGCCAAATAATCATTTGGTCAATTTCTTACTAAATGTCCTAAAATTTATGAGAACAGCTGTAATTTATTAATAATTTTACATTTGTATGATTCTGAAATCGGACCCTCAATTGTATCATAAATTAGTCGACCGATCATGGATCTAGATTGCCGATCCTAAGGATATTTCGAGAAAATTAATTATGCGTACAATCTACAAGGCTTAGAGATTGTTGAGGGAATGTTCTAGCAATAATAATATTAGTGCAAGTGGAAAAAGGTTCAAGAAGAATTAAGGTATCGAAAAACTTGAATAGAAATAAAAGATATTTACATGATAGACAAAGGGAATAAGGAATTTAGTAAGAGTAGCAGATAGAGAAAGGCAAAGCCGCCCTGTTTTATTAATATATAAAGGAGTTGATGTTTCCTTGTTAAAAATGTAACCCTTTGGGTATTAAATTAATTTCTATAATTACAATTATATTAAATAAAAGTCTCCTTGTATCTTACATCTATAATAAATAACCCAAATCGCTAACATTATGCCTCTGGCAACGTATAAATTCTATTTTTTTATCAGGTTGTAAAAGATCATGTAATATTCAACCCTTTTACGAATTAGTTGATCGTGTAAACACTATTTACATCAACTATAATGTCATTTAATGTACACTGAGTTCTTGACATAGAAACCTTAGAATATACTCAAGAAGAGCAAATTGTTAATCTAAATGATGTTACCTCGCAACATTCTGAACAAATAAACTCTACATTTTTTCCATGGTCTATATCAGTGTTGTCCGTGGACATGGACATGGACATGGACCATCCATGGACATGGACGTCCATGTCCATGAACAAGCTAAAAGCTATGTTCATGTTCATGGACAAACAACAAATAGTTATGCAGTATCATATCTGCTTCTCATAGCCTGTATTATCATAATTATCTAATCCGAAAATGTACTAAAATCCTAAAGTTAGTATTGTCAATAGACCTAGACAGTCTAAGGCTATAATAATAAAATGCTATACGTTTAGGAATTAATAAAATCAATCCATATAATTAACAGCATTGCTGTTAATAAACATAAATATTAACTCAAATATGTTGTACGTCTTAAAATTTGCATATAATCAAAATTTAAATAGTGAATTTGATTAGGGGTGGGGCAAGAGTAGACATTAGCGGAATTATAACTAATTAGAACATGAATTTTTAGTGAATAGGCTTTTTATAGTATGGTGAGAAATTTAAGACATTAGGAATTTTTATAGCAAAAATTTTTTTTTAACCGATTAGATTTCTTGCTGATCAGCCAATAACATGCTTGGACATTGGACATTGTCTATGGACATGTCCATGGACATATGTCCATGTACATTACTTACGCAGGATGATCATGTGGACATGGACATTGAACATTGTCCATAGACGTCCATGTCCAATGATTTGGCTTGGACATATGTCCATGTACATCACTGGTCTATATCTGTAGAATTTCAAAAAATCATAGACAAATTTGACCAAGATATATTAACTCAATTCCCATGTGTTCCCTGCTCTATCTGTTCTAAACTTATGTACCCAGAAAAATCAATGTGGGTTCAACAAAATTTTAATATTACTTACCCCCTTACCATAGCATACCAAACACACCATTAATTACTAACCCTAATCTGCCTCCCGATCGCATCGCGATATGTGCATTGTGTAAAACAAATCCAAATCGTAATTATCCTCCTTACCTTTGTCAGATTCCACCTGAGATTAATTCTGTGCCATTGGAAAAATGCAGATGCTTGTCACCCATTTTTCTTCATTGTTCTTTGGGACGTACACCCGGTGCCAATCCCTTTTCAGAATATAGATCATTAGTAGATACCTTTAATTACTCTCAAAATATTCACTCTTTAAGCCTTTATTCAGGAATCCTAGGTGCTTACCTAAGTGCACCATCGTCTGATCATTCTGTACTTCCTCCTTGGTTTGATAATTCAATATCAAATGCTGTTAACTGGCTTAAAGAAAACAATCCTTATCTTCGTGAATATTCCCAAATGATTCCAAGTACAAGCAATCAATTTTCTTTTGCTACTCATTCATCTGTTGATGAAACTACTCCCCCGTTTTGACATGGTGATATAGTAGTTCCTCATCAAAACTTTCCCTCTGAGATCCACGATGAAGATGCCCACTACAATCGTTTAATGGCAGAATTTATATCTAATACTGATATAAACAAAATTCCAATTGCTCTTAATGACCCCAATCTTGAGCCGTTGCTATTTCCAGATTTATATCCAGATGGTTATAGCCACTATTGTGAAATGAGAGATCGGTTAGAAAATATACAATGATAACATGATACATTTGGAAAGTATATTAAGCATCGCTTGCTCTCTAAAGATTCTCGTTTCCGACTTCATCATTACTGGTCAGCATGGGCATATCTTCAGTTAGAAAAATATAGAAACTTTCAAAACACACAATGGTTAGTTCACCAATCAACAACAATGAATCGCATCACCCACTAACTGCAATTGATATTATTGAAAGAAGCACTTATACTGACGGTTGGCGCTACAATGAAACAAAAACAACTCCAATTCCTACATTTATCCATACCGGAGATGGCTACTTTTAAAAAAAAAATATGCATTTAAATACAATGATTCGCGAACTCAGTCTTCTATCTATATTCATTACCTTATCAATGGCTAAAGGTTCATGGAGTCATCTTCGAAATATACTTGCCGGTACTGATAATAATAACCCATTACCGTCTAACAGGCCTTTACATACAACGCTTCACTTTATTCACAGATTGCAAAATCTTAAAAAACATGTTTAGAAAATTAAAAATATTAGTAAATGGGGCTCTTATACCCATTTTTTTGATCGAATAGAATTTCAAAATCGTGGAGCAGCTCACTTACATGGAGTCTATTAGACAACCTTAAATATAACTGAAATGATTAGCTTAAACACTATTCGATCAACCCTTCCGGATCCCAATTTAGAGCAAGAGCTTTATCAAAAAGTCTGTGCCTTCCAAATACATACTTGTAGTTCTAAATGTGAAGGCCCAGCTCCTTCAGGATCTATGTGCAAAAAGGGTTTCCCTTACCCATTTTCTGAATCTACTCATTACGATTCTGATAATTATAGATATACGTATAAATGCCTAACTCCCGAAGACCAATGGATAATTCCATACCACGCACCTACTTTAATAATATGGAATGCTCATATTAATGTTTAATATATTACAAGCAAAGGTCTTGCTCGGTACATAACTAAATATATAAGTAAATCAGAGCCTACCCATTTGTTTAATATACATGAAGGGATGCATTACCGTGAATATATCCATGCACGATGAATAGGCTCGATGGAGCTAATGTTTTTATTACTTGGTGAACGTATTGTAAACTCCTCAATACAAGTTCAATATTTAACAACAGATCCTTCAAATACTCGATCCAAAGCGGTTTTTCCACTCTATATGATCAATTCTCTTGATGATGATCCCTATTGGAATGATAAAATAGAAAAATACTTTGCATGACCAATAGATAGCGTATTCGATGACATGACTTATAAAACATATTTTGAGTTTTATGATATTAAATTAACTTTACCAAATATGTCTAATAGAACAATATATCGTAACAACCTTGAAAATTTTGTTATTAAACGCACAAACTATATACTAACCCGTATGCGTCTTCTATGACCAGAACATGGTTAACTGTATTTCTATCAACAGCTATTATTAAAATTGCCATGTAGATCTGAAGACGAATTACGTGGTAATTATCAAAATTACCGTGACCATTTTTTGTCCTTATTTCCAGACATACACCAGTCAATTCAAGCACAAAATCACGAATTTGCAATAAGACAAACAACACACACCTTAAACCAGTTCAACTTTCTTATCGAAACAATATTATCATTGTTATATCTGATCTTAACAACGGATATAGTTGATATTATTAAAATACAATTAGATTCTATTAAAATACCTCCAAAAATTGTACCTGTAAATCTAATAATTAACTTACCGCCAAGTCAATACAACTGCTTACAAACCATAACTAATTATTTGGGCCCATGAGATGGTTCGCATTATCCCTTTTTTTTTATCATGGGTCCAGCTAGTACTGGCAAGTCGTATATAATATGCATTTTGTTAGATTATTTTCAAAAATCTAATCAAAATTATCTTCTTATGGCTCCGACTAGAATTGCTGCCCAAAATATCAGTGGTGCCACTATCCATTCTACCTTACGAATTATTCATAATGAATTTGGCTTTCATACACTTACATTCAGAGATCCTGACCATGTGAATTTCCTCTTCCAGATAAACACGATCGTTATTGATGAAGTATCAATAGTATTAGGTCAACTTCTGACCTATATCTCAGAGTTATTTGAATCATTGCATAAAAACAATTACCCATTCAGAGGAATTAACGTCATTTTAGTTGGTGATTTAGCGCAACTACCTCCTATTCATGGTTCTCCTGTTTATCAATTACCCTTGTGGAAACTTTTTTATCCACTATTTCTTCGCAAGCCTCAAAGACAAATCGAAGATATGGAATTTTACAATCTTCTACAAAAAATTAGACTAGGAAATATCGACGACCAAGTGTGAAATACATTGCTACAAAAACAATCAGAATCAGTTTTCTCTGATTCATATGCAAACTTAAACACAACACATATTGTAGGATACTGAGAAAATGCTGATACAATTAATAGAATAATATGTATGATGACTCCCATCCAAGAAAATAAATTTATGATCTCCAATTGCATTGATACTATTAACAACCGTATTTGTAATAATAATTCAAGACAACGCGATTTTAAAAACAAAACAAATTTACCTAACACGCTCAGAATTCAACCTGGTGCGAGAGTCATGTTTCTAAATAATTCGCAAAGTCACCATCGTATAGCCAACGGCACTATAGGTATCGTAACAGACCTCAACCTAGATACAGGTATTATATGTGTTAGTTTCTGTATCGAAGGTGCCATTGTAGACACTTCTTTCTCCAAAATTACTACCAATTTTGATGTTGATGGCTTATCTGCAAGCCGTACTCAATATCCCATACAAAATGCTTTCGCATTAACAGTTCATAAAACACAAGGTCTAACGCTTCCAGATGAATCTTTAAATTTAGACAATCATATATTCGAATCTGGTCAAGCTTACGTAGCCCTAAGTCGTTGCACTAAATGGAGCAACACAAAAATACAATCCTTAGATCATGCCGCATTTATAACGAGCTCTTCCATGATTAAAGAATACAATCGTTTAGAACTTGTGGCACGTGAGCCTCTACCAATAAACACTACCATTCACAATCCAACATAACCTCTCATTTTATCAATCTACAAAAACCATTATTACTTCAAAAATAAAAATTACCCTACCCGTAACATATTGTTCTTAACATACCTTTTCTTTTTTTCATTCAACTTATCTATCATTTTTTACTTTACTATTATATAAAAAATATGTATATTAATACTACTATTCATACAAAAAAATCATATTTAAAAACACATACCATAATTAATCAATAAAAAATTAAATGTTCATCGATTATACTCAAAACGCGTCAAATCCATGCAAAATTTTTCTTTTTTTTGTATAAAATATCAAACAATACAGTAAAACAATAAAACACTCATCTAATAACCTTTACAATAAACTAAAATTCTTTTTATCTTCAAATTTCTAAATTAACCAATTAACTATTCTGCATCATATTACTAAGCTTATAATGACATCATCATCTTCGTTTGTACAAATGTCAATCACCTGACAAAACACCAAATCTAATCGAATTAAATTAAATCTATTGATATATATAGTATGTTACGTGGGTTGATAATTGTTTGAAGTTGAGAGTAATTGAAAATGGTTTACATATGTTAGCGAGTAAATTTAACATAGACACGATGTATTTAGATTGTTTAAAGAGAATTGTGATTTGTGAGTAAAGTTAGAGAAAATGTAAAAGGGTATTTAAGAAATAAATCAACTTTTTATACGATTTAAAATAATCACTTAAAATATTCTATAGACTAAAAAAAAAATATAATCGAATAACAGTTCAACATAAAAATCACAAGCGGGCGACGAAGTCGCCCGCACATCTAACATTGCTAGTTGTATAGTAAATTTGATGGTTACATTTAGGTCAGTGATAAACATAATACCATAAGTAGAGATTTACATTTAGTCGCATTGCTGAAGTGTAAAAAAAATTTGGAAAGCGTTTAAAATTAGATTCGTAGTATTGCATCACTAAGTATATCTCAGTTTAAGAACTCTGAAACCTTTATTTGAAAATTGTGCGGATAAAAATATATACACCTGTGACAAATTCCAAGTTATATTATCTAAAATGGATTGTGATATTGTTGATGACTATATCTATATCTGTATGCATTATTGTTAAGTTCCTGCATGTGATAAAATCTTAATACATTATGCATTGTTACATGACTTATCTATTATACAGTATTTAGTAAAAAAAGAAAAACCTGGAATTCACAATCTTACAAATTTGGTAAGTTTCATCTTGGAATTCAATTTCCGGTGGCGTTATTTACCGGGAAAATACACATATAAAGTGTAGATTACACGTTTTTTCTTGGTATTATCCATATATAGGTCTGAGTCGTCTTGTCGACGTACGCCTTTTTTTGAATCAATAAATAACTGCCATTTTAACAAATATTAATTTTTTATACAATACGTATTAAGTAAAATTTATATTTTGATTAGTGCTATATATTAAATGCAATAAATAAAATAAACAAATATATATAATGTTAGTCTATTTCCACATAAATGCAAATACCCAATGCTGAATGCTAAGCTTAAGTGCTAAAAAAAAAATTTTTTTTTAATACATCTTTTTGTTTATGGCGGTTTGCAAAAAGGAGTGCCCCTGTGATTTCGTGATGATTATAGCGGAAAATTTCCGAGATTTTAATTCCCTATTTATCATAATTTTCGATCAATAACGTTTATATGTTATTCGGAATCTTTAAA